AGCTGCTGGCCTGAAATGCCAGGAGATAAACTGAACCGTTTCTATCAATGCCTTCTGTGATACATCTTTAGGTGATGGTGTATTCAATCGTTGGACAATCAGATTTTCATAACCACAGAACTAAACTAGCTCTCTGAATAATCAAAGGAGTTGCATCTTTTCGTTCGTTTCAGTGGACTCTTCAACAACTTATAATATAGAAAACTTGATATGAAATATTCTCCCACTTCAACTGGAAACGTGGAAGAAGAGGAGTAATGTATATGAGCTACCGGAGTAGTTTTTATGTACATCTGTCCACGATGAGGAATATGACTTTTGCTGATACGGGTAGTGTTTAAAGTAGTTGTGAGCGTTCGCTTTGTGCATAATTGACATTAACTTAGAGAACGCGGATGTCAAAACCCAGATGACTATGACAAACAATCGCAAAAAATTAAGCCCACCGGGGCCATATACTTTTCTGTGTATAGAAAAACCGTTGTAAATTTTCGAAACCCCACTTTGCAGTTCAGTTTCGGTTCAATCTTATATTAATTGAATACTGGCAAAAATCCGGGCATAGAAACTGGATTTTACAAAGGGCGCGTTATAGCATGACTGCTACATTCAATTTATACTTTTGTTGTTTTAGTTTTAATATTTATCCGCAATTAAATTGCTGTGTATTTTTACTGTCTTACAACTTATGCTAAAAGTAGATAATACTGTTCAAGCCGTAAACTTCATTCTTGTTTCATCAGATTTACCTTTCGGCAAGACAAAATTATGCCATTGTTTCCTAAAATTGGAATTTTATCCTTGTTTTTGGGCATTTTACTCCTTTAATGCATATGAAGGTAATACGGCAAAGCCAATGCTAATTTATTGACACTGAATTTGATTGCCGCTGCCACGGCTTTCATCAAGTGGGCATTTTTGATTCCGAGGGTGCTGTTCCTCGTCGTAAGTAGTCTGTGTTCGATTCATTTTGAGTTATTTGAACATTCTTCCCATTCTTTCTGCTGTTTTTTATGTTTAGTCGGGTTTTATGGTTCCACAGTTGTTTTTTTCCCTTTGTGTGTTATTTGCCTTTGCTCCTGTCACCACATTGTTAAGCACTTTCTGATAATCTGCATATTCGCTACATATTGTTTCTTGTCTTACCCGAACTTATTTGCACTTTTTTCACGTTTCTTGCTGATGTTGCAGCCAATCGACGCCTTAAGCTACCGATCAGAAAGCAAAGATTATAATTTTTTCTGATTAAGAGGTCTGTTTCAACCCTGAATGTGCCGCATTCGGTTCCGCCGGAATTCCGTAGTATTTGTATTAACGAATTCCTTTGTGCAACGAATTTACAACGCGTTTCTTCACACCAGGGTGACTCGATTAATATTGCGTCGTTTTCAGAACCGAAAAATGTTGAGTTCCGGTACCATTCATGGTCATTCGCCTCTCTTCCTTCGGAACAACAAAAATCTAACGTACAGAAATAATTGACGAAAGGGAACTCAAGGAAGAATATACTGAAAGAGGCTATGAAAAGTAAATAATGAAACAGATCGTACGTAGTAGCAAAGTAATTATGTTATTTTACAATTCGAAGGTAGACAGAACAAGGCAAAAAACAAGGCACAGATAGCAACAATGCTTACGGTGAAGAAGAGAACATACGAAACAGGATGAATTTCGCAATAATGACAAAGGACAAACAATGGAAAGCAAGGGTTAATTAACCTCAAGATTTGACTAAATAAAAACAATGAAGTGGCGCAAAGTACATACTACAAGAAAGTACTTGCCGCGAAGAATAACACCTTTGGGATGGGAACTGCAGGCGAGACGGAAGCTGCAGCAGCGGCATTTAGACGGAGCGTCAATGAGGACGTAATGTTTATTGACTTATTTACATGCTGATATTTGTGATTAGCTAAAATAGGAGGTTTTGCCTTGAGGTTCGCAGAAAATCAGCATTTATGTTCGTGCATTGTTGGTACCTTCTTTGCAGTTAAATGAGTAAACTGGTGTCGATTGTCAATTTAACTTGCAAATCAACCGCTTTTCAGAGCGAGTATTACCGGTAGTGTTGCCACATTCGGAGTGGCATATCGCGGTTTGTTACTTTTTCTATTGTCAATTTCATATTAAGTCAGGCATCATTTCCCCTTATATGTCTGTAGTAACCAGTACCCAATATTAACACATTAAGTAAGGTATCAAGTAAGACTCGTGTCGGAGGTGCTTATTTGGTGTTGGGCACGTGTAGCCGGAGTGAGCGTGCGAGTGTAAACATTTATGGTGGTATAGAAATACAAAAAATATGCGCGAATGGTGCTCGATACGTAACAGATGTTTTAATTGACAGCATTTTCGTGCCTGTGTTTTGCTTCTGGGTAAAAGTTTTGCCCGAGCGGATGGTGTTATCCACGAAACAGTCATTTCTGACTGCAGAAGCATCATTTGTAAAACTTTGCTCAGGTCGCGAAACGCCGCTCTCGACTGGTCTTTATGGGTCAGAACTTTGATGTGTGAAAGTTTGGGATGCTTAAGACGTTAAAAGCAAGATATTGAGGAAGTTTTGCATCCGGTGATGATGTTACGGCGTGTCAGCTTTTGTCAATTCTGGCTGGTGATAATTGGACCTGCCAGAAAAGATGACTGCGTAGCGAGTAACTTAGGCAAAAGCGAACAGATATCATTCGTTGTTACCAGGTTGTCGATTTCGTTTTGTCGCTCTGAAATACCCATGAAAAGTAGAGAGGTTCTTCTATTCTAGCAGTAAAGATGACATGATGTGATCTCATGGTATCGGCAGATACAGATAGAAGGCAAGGAGTTTGCATTTATGAGTTAACATCAGAAACACGAAAATTGTTTGCTGCGACAGTGCCACATGTTAACTCGAGCGGTTTCGTTATGGTGTTCATCTTTTGTCACAAACAATCACCGAGTCGTGGTTCTTGCATGACGAGAGTCGGTGAAGTATCTTGATTTAAATATTGTCTAACAGCGACGTCGCAGTTTGCTTCCCTTCGGCTTTAAAAGTGCATACCATTTTCAGTTACGTAATGAATTTAGTTTTCGAAATTTATGATTTTGGCATTACCTGAAGGTTTGAGATCTTGCTGATGATGCTTATCATCATCGTCTGAGGCTAACGGTGCTTAAACAGCAGAGTGAGCCAGATTTGTGATAGTTGATAATTAGAAATGGTGCTTCATATTGGTACTAGGTAGCGTAGCAGAGATCATATTATTCTTTCCAGTTTCCAGTATCTTAATTTCTCAGAGTTGCTAAAATCCTGGATTTTAAAAAAAGTGCGGGGTTGTCGAGAGTTTAACAGAATATGTTTCTAACTTGATTTCGGTCAAAATTCAGAATGAGTCTATCATGCATCCGATGATGGTCAACGGCGTTTTTCACAGAGCTGAGAAAAGCACCATTGTGCATATTCCTTGAGAACATTTTCTATGAATGCAGCAGATTTTAGATGAAATCAGAAACACCTCATCCGCGCTGTTCTCACTTTTTAAAAATTGGTGACAATGGCTGCTTTAAAGTTCTCCTCAGCTAGTTTTATTTCCTCTAAAAGTGCATTCACCTGCTCGATGCGAGATCTCGTGGAGCATATAGCAGTGCGGAGGTCGGCGGAATTAATGCAGATTGTAGTTTAAAGACTTACTTCAAACTAGGAAATAAGCAGTTAGCGATGCCTTGCCGAACAGATGTGGGAATGCTAGTATCTGTCCTTTGCTAATGTCCAAGTTTATCATATCTGACCTGTCAGTGTAGTTTCTTAGTGACCCCTGTCCAGATTCATGCTTTGATGTTTGATTTTTAATGGAATCGAATACTAAGGCAGTGGATCTGGTTTCGAATGTGCCAACGCGAGTGACAACATGTGGAGTGACACATTGCAAATATTACACATGAATGTTCAGGCAAGAACTGGAAAACAGTTAACAGCAAATCATTCCGTTCACGGTATAACGCTGTTAAATGAGCGTAGAGGAACCTGGTCGTCTGTGTTGTCTTCGCAATTCTTGAGTATAGGACAAGATGCTAGAACGAGTGGCGAGTGCTCTCCTTAGCTATAAAAACCGACAGTGAACATTGAAATGGTAACAGTGAACCAGTGACTGAAGAAGCGCATTTTTCCTTTCAGTTCTGTTAAGAAGGTCATTGACTCAAATCCTAGCAGATCAGACGCCACTGTTCATAATAATCCTTGAATAAAGCACGGTGGCGTTTCCTCATTATTGCATCTGCCCTCGAAAGGGGCATACTCATTTATAAGGAGTATCTCATGTAGCGTTATAACGTATGGAGGGGCAGCTTTAGAACTTCGTATAGCCATTCCTTTTAAAAATCTACCACATTTCTGTGAATTGAAAATACAGCAGAAAGCACGTTTTTACGTGGATTTGTCGCAGAATAAAACATTAATGGCAATGGCAGACTTTTAAAATACGGTAGTTGCGTTCTGTCGGTTATTATGATTATCTGTTGCATTCTTAGTTTAGATCGGCGGCGGTGGTGGCCTGACAGAGACGATGAAACTCGAGGATGATTTCAAGGGCTACGACGTGGACGAATTCTCTATCCCGGAAAGATACAAACAGTCGCTACTGAGTGTTCTTATTACGCACGGTATGGTGGTTGACAGGACCGCCGCCCTGGCCAAAATGGCTAACGACTATTTTGGTGATCAAGACGTGGTTGTTCTCGGTGTTCTAAATGGCTGCTTCCGCTTTTACAGCGTCTTCGTCGATCAGCTGAACAAGTTGCGGAAAGACTTCAGGAACAGTGTGTTTTATGAATTTGTTCGATTGAAAAGCTATGTCGATGCTAATTCTCTTGGCACTGTCCAGGTCAGTATAATATTTTAAGTTGGAAATTTTTTGGCTGTCGAGAACTCATCCGTTGTGCTATGTTGTTTTTCGAGACGATATATCAGAAAATTCAGTGACTGTGGGCAACCGTTGAGGGCTGTCGTTCAGGGTGCTCATGTGGAGAGTGATTCGTATGAGTACGTCATAGTCTTCCAATGCACAGATCGAGGCAGGAGGATTCAAGAATGTTTAGCACATGGCACTGTTGTTTCTTGGAATTCACTGGATGTAGAATGATGATAGGCGAAGAGCAGGTCTGTTAGAAGAACCCTCAAAAGTTGCTGATCTCTGTGTACAGTTACGGTAAAGACGAGTAAAGGAAGAGAAACAGCATGTTCCTGATAGAACTGTACTGATTAAGCTTCGAATGCTTTGCCTGAGCAAATTGATTGAGCAAATTTGATTGAGCAAATTTGTGAACACCGCCCGTTTTATACTTGCAGTTTTTATCAGGCCGGATCTTTAGAATAGCCTCGATATGTTCGTACTGTTCTGTTTTTCATCGTCACTGTTTTCAAACGTTTCTGCATTGTTTCAGTTACAAAGTGGTAATTTATCGTTTCTGACCGGGAAGCACGTCCTCGTTGTCGAAGACATTATTGAAACTGGCAAGACCATGGAAAAGTTGCTCAGCGTCCTAGATTCAGTCAAACCTTTGTCAGTTAAAGTTTTGACACTATTAACTAAACGGACGGACGCTCCTGCTGTCTTCAAGCCAGACTTCGTTGGCTTTGATATTCCGAATCATTTTGTTGTTGGTTTCGGCTTTGATTATAATGAGATGTTTCGAGATATGGATCATATATGCATAATCAACGATTATGGAAAATTGAAGTATTCGATCAAAAGTTGAGTGTCGAATCAGTATGAAATGTTTATTTTATTTTAAAAACTTTGTTACTGTTGCCGATCGCTCATTCTTGTTTTCAGTACTTACCTCGAAGCGGGAGGGTTATACCTTTGTCATATAATCATTATTCTTAGAAACTTAGGTCATCTGTTTTCAAAATAGTTTTATTTCTGATCCTGTTTTGTTTTTGCTTTATTCATAAGCGTGACTTTCCAAAGCAGTAAAACATGGCTTCGATTGATCAGGTTTCGTTATTTCTTGAGATTTTATGTGATGTTATGATGTGATGTTATGATTTCTGACTTTTCTCGATCTAGTGACTATCTTTGCGCTTCGTTTTTTGAAATGCATGCTTTGCAGCAATGAGAAGAAGCTACTGACATTTTGATAGTTGTCCTTGAAATTATTGTTAACATGATCTTGATGCACTTTTATTGCAATTTGTACTGTTCGAAAGGTTTTCTTTCTGTTGTACTCCTGAAAATGTGAAATAACTTGAAAAGCAGTATTTAGAACTGGCAGGGAGCATTTGGAGCTGCGCAACTTTTCACATTGCCCGGTACATTCCAAAAGGTTGAAAACGCGGTTCGTCTCATAAAATTTCCCCTTAAGTCGAAAGATGGACGAGGCCCTGGTAAATCAGTCGAAGCAATGTATGAACTAAGACGTTGGTATGGAACTGAATTCGCATTGGAACGAAGCAGTTGTCACTGTCGAGGCTGATACCTGCACAGTGAAGTTGCGGCCTGACTTGCAATTTATGGTGTAACATCTGTTTCATATTTTGACTCTCCTGAAGATGGACTGAACATTATCCAATACGTTAGAAAATATGTGATAAGTTCTATATGTGGTGTCATCCCTTAAAAGATTTTTAAGCAGTGCAAGTTTAACAAATGAAATAAATGTCTAAATCTCAAATTCCTACTTGATCCTTCCTCAAACCCTTTGCTTTTAAAGCATATAAAAGCAGTGCCAATCAGTCCGTACATTGGTCTATATTTCGAACATGTGTGATTGGTATCAAATAGCTTCACGGAGGATTTTAGGCCACTTTATTTGACAAGTGTCAGTAATACACCAGATACAGTGG